GGGGGGTGAGAGAATGGTGGCAGCATATTATCCTACACGTATGAGATTATAATGATGATAATCGATGGAATGTCACACAAATGCAATACGCACTCTAATGCACTTGCGTGCACATGCATAAAAGGCGCGAGATAGGGAACGTACGTTTAAATGTATATATATATATATATACGTGTGTGTGTATATGTGTTTATATGTGTGTATATGTAATGCTATTGCTCATGAAAGAGGTGGAAACACAATCGGTATGCCGCAGCGCAATTCATACACAGGGTGGTACGTAATTGCTTCGCATGGCATATCGATTGTCCTTACGAGGTCACAGTATACTTCCAAAGCGCACCAGTGGATATCCTACGATGATAAGAAGGCGGCATGGTTTTTGTTTTTTTCTTTTTTTTTTAGATCTTTTTGGTATTTTTTTTTTTTGTGGTTTTTGTTAACAAGAAGAAAAAAAATATGAAAAAAAAAACCTCAAATTAATCTTCTTCTTCTTCTTCTTCTTCTTCTTTTTGTTTTCTTCACGTTTGGATCACAATTTTGAGAAGATAAAGTAAACGTATCGAATGTTAATAATAAATAAATAAAAAAAAAAAAGAAGGAAAACAATTAATGTTTATTTAACACTGAAACGTTTTCTTCCTTTTCTAGGTGGTGATGGTGGTGGTGGTAGTGGTGGTGGTGGTCTTCAATTTTAGCAATACTACGAAGTACTATTTCGTTGTCCTTGAAAGTACAGTAGTCGATAAATCGAACTATATATGTATAGACGGTGTCCTTCGAATATTTCGTTAGAAATTAACTTGAGTTTAACACGTGATTGAAATGATATCTTTCTTACTTTATTTATTTATTTATTTATTTTATTTATTTATTTGTTTTCTCAGTTTCCCGATGTTCACCGCGAAACGTTCACTGACAGACTGAGAGCCGACGATTCTCGCACACCCCAAAGGTGTTTGACGAGGAGTAAGTAGTAGTAGTAGTAGTAGTAGTAGTAGTAGTAGTTGGTCGAACAAACCCGAACCTCACCGAATATCCTCGATCCTCATTCGTTGCACCGCGTGCTCCAATTTTTTTCTTCTTTTTTTTTTTTGTTCCCTCCTTCGTCTTATATATCACACACTCGTTTTATATACTCTGTATTTTCTCTTGTATATCTCCCTTTTTTTTTATTTCTTTATTTATTTTTCTTGAACAACACAACATGGTGAGAAAGGGTCTTGGTGTGTGTTTGTCGTTAAACGAGAGAGCTATGTCAATTTGATTGCTTATACAACGAGACGTTTATGGTTACGACACGCGTTCATTTTCAAAATCCTGTTAATCCTATTTATTCGAACTTCGTTTACCTTGATTTACGTTTTTAATACTTACTCATCCCTTCTTCAGTGTTTTTTTCTTTCTTTTTTTTTCAACTTAAGTTACAAATTTTAACATTAAATACAATTTAATCACGAAATTCTCAATACTTTTATGCAGTTATATATATACAGTTGTTTTTTTTTTTTTATGTATATTATATACAAAATATTTATTTATAATATATATATATATAATTTATGTATAATAATATTTTTATATTGATATTATTTTTATTTTATTTATTTAAGTGAAAACATCTTTCTTTAGAATAGGGAGTGATTTGAAAAAAAGTGAAACGCGGCTAGGCAACGGAGCGGTAGGCGGCTAGGTAACGGAGCGGCGGGCGGCGATGTAACGGCTACGATATTTAAGTAAGAAGAGAAAAAAAGACAAACATATAGGATTAAGTTTGCGAGAGAATGAGACAGAATAATAGTTATATAGTTTTTCCTATTTTCGGTTTCCTCTTTATATGCTCTGCTTCGTAGTTATCGCTCCTGGTTGTATATATGTGTGTTTGTGTACGATTGTATATATATATAAAGTATATATATATATATATATATATATATATATATATATATATATATATATACTTTATTGCGATCTTCTGT